ACATGAGAAAAAGAAATAGCTCAATTGCTATTCATTGTCTACAACTCAGTCCTTGTGAAGATGTGGAAGCAACCTTCTCTGTTCTACCTTGCTTGGGTCCTCTGAAGTATGACAAAATCCTCTGGCTTGGTGGTTACCCAGGCTTTTTGTCCCTCCTTCTGAGCTGCTTTGAAGAATGACAGGATCTCTGAGATGATCCCCAAGTCTTCCTGGTGAATTTCATAAATACACTGAAGCCCCAGTTTCAAGTTAGCATCACAAAGTTGTCATTAAAATTTAGTAGGAATTAGCCCTGGTTTTAGATGATCACTTTTGTCACCACAATTGTTGATCTAATAGTAGAAATACATTTGTCATAACTGTGGGTTTCTTTCCTGTGTGCGTATGCGAAAAGAGAAAGGGGAGACTTGTATTTACTTATTTTTTCTTCACCTTTCTTTCATTGCATCACAATTAGAAAGTCTTCCTCAAAACACTTAGTCATTTTTATGGAGACCCTAGGCAACCTCTATAGCCTTCCTGGGGAGGTACAAGAACCATTGTTCCAATTATGAAAAGCTATTGCCTAAACCTAGTAAAGGAAAAACTTTTTGAAGACATTCCTCAACTTTGGGGTTTATGAAGGAATGAAATTCATGTCTGCCAGGCAGTGGAGTCAGTATTTTTACAGCTTCATGTAATTTGTGAGTCTGCCTGATATCTTGGTTGAAAAGAATCTATCCTATTTCTGATTCTAATAGCAGTAATCTACAGCTGGACCTTAGGAGTATTTCCATAAGGGGCTCTTCACCTTTCTCTGTAGAAGAGTTGATAGGTTATCCTGTTGGACTATTTCCACATGTGTGCAAGTCAATGTAATTATGTTGGTTAGAGTGTGGTTTTGATGGTATCATTCTAACGTTGTCCATTTTGATGACGATCTTGTGATTTTTTAGACAACTTTCTGATGAAAGAAGATCGTGGCATCTTCATTCTGTAAATGTAGAAACTGGGAGTCACAGCGTGTTGCCATCTCAGTTATGGACCATACTTCTACCAGCGCTTCTTCCTTATGCCTTTCGGTATTAAACCCCATTGCTTTCCTTAACAACTAAAATATCTAACCAGTCTTCTTGCATCTATAAAACAGGGCTGAAGAGATTCAATGGACAGTGATATGTCAAGGCCCCTGTATTCTTTTTTTTTTTTTTTTTTCAAGTTAGCATACAGTGTAGTCTTGGCTGCAGGAGTAGAACCCAGTGATTCATTCTTATATATGACACCTGGTGCTCATCATGAAAAGTGTCCTCCTTAATGCCCATCTCCCATTTAACCCACCTCCATCCACCCTCAGTTCTCTATATTTAAGAGTCTTTTATGGTTTGCCTCTCTGTTTTTATCTTGTTTTTCCTTCCCTTCCCCTATGTTCATCTCTTAAGTTTCTCAAGTTCCACATATGAGTGAAATCATATGATATCTGTCTTTCTCTGACTTATTTCACTTAATACCCTCCAGATCCATCCACATTGTTGCAAATGGCAAGATTTCATTATTTTTTATTGCCAAATGGTATTCTAGTGTGTGTGTGTGTGTGTGTATACACACCCACACATATATACCACATCTTCCTCATCCACTCATTAGTTGATGGACATTTGGGCTCTTTCTATACTTTGGCTATTGTTGATAGCACTGCTATAAACATTGGGGTGCATGTGCCCCTTCAAATCAGCATTTTTATATCCTTTGGATAAATTCCTAGTAGTGCAATTGATGGGTCATAAAGTAGATCTATTTTTAATTTTTTGAGGAATCTTCACCCTGGTTTTTGGAGTGACTGCACAGTTTGCATTCCCAACAGCAGTGTAAGAGGGTTCCCCTTACTCCACAGCCTTGCCTGAGTTGTTAATTTTAGCCATTCTGACAGGTGTGAGGTGATTTGTATTTACCTGATGGTCAGCGATTTTGAGCATCTTTTCAGATGTCTGTTTAAGGCCACTGTATTCTAAAAGCACTCAGGACAAAGATAAGCAGAATTTGTCATTAGAGCTGGACGTACCTGGAGGTTGACAATCTCCTCATAAAACTCAAACCTTTTCTGCTGATCTTGGGCAGTATAATGAACTAAAAAGAACTTTAAATCCATGAGTTGAATTTGGATGACTGGCATCATACTTGCCTTTAGATGCTTCCTGTACAGGGTAAATGTGCTTAAGCATGTAAACTAATTTGAAAATGTAGAAGGCATTCTCCAAGTCTAAAGAAGTGGATGTATAAATTAGCACGCATGTATGTCCAATTTAACTTATTTTCAAATCTACAGATAAAAACGGGGATATGTATTTTCAGCTAGCTTTAATCTTACCAGTTAATTTCTTATGTTTAAAAATCTTAGAGTTCAGAAGAAAATATGTACAAGACCTTTTTTATACCTTAGGTTAGACTATATTTTAATATTATTTTTATTCAAGTTAGGCTTTAAGTCAAAACAGCCTATTTTGGACCACAAAATATTTTCAGTTAATTTAGGCCTATCTGTGGTCAAATCTTGGCTAACCATTTTAATTCTTTGGTATTTGCAATGTATCCTACAGGAGAAATGGGGCTGACCAAAAACAAAACCAAGCAATGAACCAATAGCACAGAGATGTCATTCAAAAGAGACTTTTGAGGAAAAATTTTAGGGTTGTAACTTGGTCTCCCAAAACATCTTTAGTTGGTGCCAGTACTGTATAACTTATTGCCAATGGAATAAATGTGCAATTTGAAAACTTATATAAGTTTTCAGAAGCATTGCCGAAGTTTTGGCCACACTATGAACTATTTTATGCAAATACTGAGTTAAGTTTCCTATCAGACAGTATTTATATCAGCCAGCAAACCCAAAGACCATTTGATATTGACAATTACATCAGAATGATTTATTAGGTAAGTGGCATGAAATTGACCCTCTACTAAAATAAGAATTTCCAGTCATTTAGCATGGATTTTCTGTTAAAGCAGTACACATTGCTCGTATGAAAAATTGAAATGGTGAATGTGAAAAGATTTAACAAATACTCAGTATATTTTTATCTTAAGACATTTAAAAATCTAGTAATATTATTTTTCCACGTACTCAATTTCAATTTGCCTTTAAAAGAAACTCCAGGCTTTAGATAAATATGAGCTCATTTTTACAATGCAGTCAGCAACAATTTTAACTAAGGTTTTTCTGGTTTGTTTAGAAAAAATAATTGATGCTGCTTTTTAAATATATAACTTTATGTTAAGTATTTAATCTCTCTGACCTCATTAGGTGTGTCTCATCATTAGATATAATGTTACTAAAGTAGTTGTAACTTTACAGCTTCTTTGATTAATGATGGTTTGGACTAAGGTTTCACTGGGTAGGATTAACTATGTTTAAAGATGGCGAGACGCCATTATAACATTAATGCCAGAATTTAATAAGAACCAGAAAATAACTTCAGGGACCTTCATAATTTAATGTGAGGGCATGATCATATTCTGATTATTTTACTGTAGTGTCCTATTAAAAATATGTTATTCTTTATCTTGTGATAAAGTTTTACTCAACAAACACCAAATATCAACTATGTGCCACTCATGTGACTGTTTCCCATCCTCAAAGAAGTTGACATATGAGAAACATCTCCCTTATTTAGAAATCTCCTAGCCTTCCTGTAATCTAGTATGACTCTGATTTCCTAAGGCATGGCTCTATCTCCCTAACTTCTGGCCTGTTTCTTCACATTTCTTACATCAGCTAACACCTCCATTGTCTAGATGAAAAAGCTGGCCAGATACGTCTCTGTAATGAAGGGTCTGGGAAGGTTGCAAAGCACGCATTAGAACTGAATGTACTGTTTGTGGTGTGGATTACTCTAGTGTCGGATATCTATACCTCACAGGAAGAGAAGAGTTTTGTAGGACTACACGATTAAATCGGTAGTAGGGTGAGTAGGAGAGGAAGAACCTTTCTGTACTGAAGGTGTATGGTGATGACTTAATTTCTGCAAAATGCAGGTGCCCTTTATACTCTTTTCTGTCCTAAAACCCTCATGATTCCAATGTGTTTAGAACCAAAGAGGGAAATGGACCTGAAGCAAATACCTCCATTCTTTTCTCTCACATTCTTAAGTATACATGCTTGCAAAGAAATGTCGAGACCTTGTAAAAACTATAAACCATGACTACAAGATGCAAGAAGTAAAATAGAGCCGAGGCAAAGGGAGAACTATATTCAGACAAACCTCAACTATCTAGCTCATGGTCTGGGCTTCCTGGTCATGAAGGCAAAGAGGAGAAATAGGATAATGTGGTGGTGTGATCTTCTGGTTGTAAGACCCACCTCATCAGTTTTTCAGAAACGAGCATTTTTCTTGTTCACAGTAATAAGAGTACCTTATTCTAGGGGATTTGTAGAAGAAGCCATAGCCACATAATGAATGATGTCCTCGTGAATTTTTATAGAAAATAACAGAGTATTCCACCTATGTTCTTTCATACACTGGCCTTTGGAGAACAGGGAAGGAATAATGTTAAAAGCAAGATATTTTTTTTCTCCCAGGGGGCAGGGAGAAGCGAGTTTGAAACTTCTGGTATATTTACTGTAGATAGATGCTTATTTTCTTTCGCCCCACTGACATGTGGAGCAGTAGAAAGATGTAAAGATGTCTAGTAAAGGGTAGCATTGTTAACAGCCGGAGAGGATAAATGGAATTTTTGTGGCAGGATGATATTTGCAAGACTGATCAGGCCGCTGGGAGGTTTTTAAATATGCCAGTTCCCTATAACAGGAAGATCAGTCTCTGTTTTAGACAGCATATCCAATTTAGTAAATTATTATTATTCCGTCAAAATTAATGTGAACAATTTTCTCTTTGAGGCTGCTTTTTCCATAGGTGATGTTTTCCAGATGGGCTTTGTGTAAAACTCTTAATGTTTTGTGTTTTCTTTCCTCAAGAAAGAGCCTTTTCTGACATGTCTTCATTTCTTTCCCTTTCCCTCAATTGTAGGAAAGAGAGCCCCGAAGGCAAAGGAGAAGAACAAGAAGAAGAAGAGGAAGCTGATAGAAAGAGCCCAGGAGCAACACAGTGTCTTCCTAGCTACAGACAGAGCTCACCAGTAAAATAAGAGACATTTAGGTTAGATTTTGGGGGATTTTTGTTTTTGCAAAAGTGCACAAAGCTACTCTCCATGCCTGGACACTGGTGTGCAGCATTTATGCTGCCAGGACCAGTATGTGTTCCCAATAACATTGTGAAAGGAGGAGCCACGAGCGTGGTCTCTGTTATTTATGCTTCGATTTGCATCTGGAGACTGTGAAGGCAGGAGCGGGTGTCCGGCACGTGCCTTGGCTCCACGTGCACTGAGGGAATGTGGCACCAAGGAGAGTCGAGGGCCGTGAGGCCCCAGACCACCACTGGAGAACAGACTTGTGCATATTTATGGGAAAGAAAACACTCCACAGGCAGAGTGCTGTTTTACCTGTGACTTTGATTTCTCACGTTGTGTATTTGCAAGGATAAATGTATGTGGATTTCTGCTTTTAGCTGGGGGTGTGCTCCTGGGATTCCTGCTCCGTATCACAGCAGCTCGAACATGTACATAGTCTTTGGGGCTACATCTAAACGTCTTACTGTATATTTATGCCTTCTTACTTGTAACAAGTCATACCTAATTAATATTATGTCACTTTGTTTCTAGAGGTTCCTAACCATTGTCCAGTAAATGACTTCTAGTTGTGCGAACTGACAGATGTTTCGTTGCCCCTTGAAATGTAACTTTTCTTAGAGGGCTTATTTCTCATTGTAAGAGTAGGATAAGCTAGTTTGTACATATGCTCAAAGGACCAGTGTCAAAGAATCTGAATACCAATAGGACTTCCCCCACTCTGTTTCCTCCTGCAGATAAAGCAGCATGTGTCAGGCAGAAGCTAAATCTCCCTTGACCTCTAAGATGCGATGACTTTATGAAACACCACTGAGAATGTAAGGAATTATATGCAGTCCCTTCTAGTATTCGTCATGCAGTTTCACAGGCTAGAGGATTTTTCAAACTTTTGTTTCAACTTCAATATATACATATTTATTTAAAGCCATCCCTGACTTACCAGGACAGGGTACCTATCAATATTCTTGGGTCACTGAGGAAATAACCATAATGAGACCATGCACGGAATTAGAGGAGGAAACAGTATGAATTCCTGTAACTGCTGCTCAGATCTTACCAGGTCTCCTTCAAGCCAGAATCTGTATCTTCTCTGACAGAAGAACATTATGGAGACTTCCCCGGGGACTTTTGGAGCAGTTGTTTCAAAAACATCGTTGTACACTTGGAGGAATCAGCTCTCAGAGGGCTTTAAATTGGCTTCTTCTAAAAGGGTCGTTATCTTCCTGGCTAATTCAGAAGAAAGTCAGAACAAAATGAAATGGTTTCAGATGTCTAAGGAAAAAAAGCAAGGTAAAGCCTTTTTCTCACCTTGCATTGGCAAAACTACCTCTTCATCATTTTTGTTTTGAGTCAAAGCATCTTACCAGTGAATATCAATGTCATATACATCATTATGAGAATATTGTTGCTATGAGATACTAAGCCATATATGAATGTTGTATACAACTTTAGGGTTTGCGTTTAATCCTAAAGTGCTCACCTCATTTCACATCTATTTACACTATATTCCTATTTACTAAGTGGGGAAGGGGCTCCTTGATATAGTGCTTCATCATTAATAAGTCAATATCTGTTCTGTTTCTGAGATGCTCTTTTTGCGCATTAAAAAACTTCAAAATTATTGTTTGTGGAAGTTTTCTTTAGAGGTACATTTAGGGCAAAAAGAAATACTTTAACAACTCTACCCCTAAATGATGACCCTTAAAAAACACAAATTTAACAAAAAAAAAAAATCAACTGTATCTAGGAACTAACTAGTTTAGCTATAAATTATACTAGACTGGAGTAGAGATGTTAGGCAGTGTGGCTCTAAAATCTCTACTCCTGAGTTCCAATCTAGACTCTGAGAGTAGCCTGGGGCAAATTATCTCTCCAGGACTCTGTTCCTCATCTGTGAAGTAGAGGTAACAGTAGTACCTACCTGTAGGGCTAAGTTTTGAGGATTAAATTAGGTAAAATGTGTAAAGTATGGTCAGCACGGGATATATATAGGTGCTATCCAAGTTACTTGTTATTAACTCTGTTCTTGGCAATTATTTCAAAAACATTGATTTCTCTTTTTATTTATGAAATTCAGTTCCCTTCAATTTATTGCTTGATGCCTGGTCATCATTTGCCCAAATTTCTATTCTTATGGGAGCTGATTTACAGCTGATGCCTTATCTTCCAATTATAAATAAGTGAACAACAGAGATTCAAACTACAGTATCATTTATAGCTTTAGGGTAATACAAAGAAAATCAGGTGGTTTTCTATAAGTAGCTTTACCATTCCTATATTTATATGCTGTATATATAAATATAGATTATATGAAACTGGTTCCCCCTCCAATATTTTCAGGGAGCTTAGCATTTGTAAAAGTAAATGATGGGATCACAACTTTGTCAATTAAGAAGTTTAGGTGGGAAAAATGGGTGAAGGGAGTCAAAAGGTAGAAAGTTATACAACAAATACATCATGGGGAGGGCAATGTACAACATGGCAACTATAGTTGGTAATGCTATTGCATATTTGAAAGTTTCTAAGAGAATAAATCTTAAATGTTATTACAAAATTTGACAGATAAGCACTTAGGAAAACCCATTTTTATGAATGTCTTTGTTCTTTTTCAAGATGCTTATACATCTTGAAAAACATGTGGAGAAAAGATAGCACTTAGCCTCAAGTGTGTGAGTAAAGGTGATGTGTGATTTCTCCTCCAACTTCATATTTTTTTCTTTAAAGGAGAGCTGTGCATAGAAGAAAGAAAGAAAAGTGCCTAATCTGTTTATGTTAGAGAGGTGTTTGCATAGTAGATACTACTTGATAATATCATTAGACAAGGTAGAATTAGTAACCTGTTAAATGTAGATCTTGACCAATCTTGTAATTTTCCCTCTTCTTTCAAAAGGAATAACCATTCAAGTTATGCATCTGACCCCCTCCCTCTTGCTTTTGTGGGATCTTCAGTATCCACTTCTGGCATTTCTTTAGCCCTTCCTCTCCTCAAGGTTCCATTTCATTCAAGGTCTTCACTGTCCGCTTTTCTGAAAACGTTTGTTCATTAATGATGTTCACTTTGTTCCCATCTCACTGATTTCTTCCCCACCACAGCACTATCATTGTTCTGTCAAAGGGAGCAATGATGTTCCCCTTGCTAAAAACGAGGAGGACATTTGCCTTGATCTTTTTATATGCGTCCTGTTCTTTCCATCAAGTTTAACTTTTATTGTGCCCTTTCCTTTAGGAATTTCATTTCTCATTTGGCTTCTATGACATTCATTCTATTTCTTTGGCTACTTCTTTTTAGTCTTTTCAAGTTGTTCTTTCTTGGCCTAAATTAAAAATACATTTCATAGGTGAACTTACTGTTTAATCTTTTAGTCTTCTCAGCTCCTCACTCTGCTTGGGAAATATCACCTAATGGCTTCAGATACCATCTGTATGCTCCTGGTTTCCAAACCTGTATATCTGTCTCCAGGTCTTTGATAATGATTTCCAAGCCTCAACTAGAGATATTGACTAGGGTGCCCCACACTTTCCTCAAACTCAATATGTCTAAAACTGAATTTATTGCTACCTCATTCAGGGTCCAGTCAAGGAAATAAACTAGTCAAGGTATTTCTAACAGGAAGTTTAACACTGATAATTCGTTATACAGGTAATAAAGGAGATGGGAAGCTGAAGTGGGAATGACAAGACTACCCAGAAATTAGTAACAGGAGGAAACCACTATCACCCCTAGGGCAACCTCTTCCTGATAACAGGAAGAGATTGAGTTTCCAGAATCTAGAAGGCAAGGCCACCCAGCTCGAGCTAGAACTACAGCTGAAGCTAAAGCAGTGACCACAAAAAAAGATGGAACCAAAGACAGAAAGCTTATCTGGTAGGAGGATGTTAAAATCTTGGAAATCTGGTCACCCTGAGAAATGCTCCTTGAGGCAAAGAGGAAGAAACACCCTGGCTTCTCCCAACCTTCGAACCTGCAGCCTTCTACCCACACCTGCCATTGCCCAAAGTTATCCGGAAGCCAGGAAGCCTGGGTAATGTAGTTCTCTGTGACACTGAGTGCAATGGAAGGACATAGACCCAGGAGCAACAAGCAAATGGTCAACATAATCACTGACATCTGTCCCCAAAACAATTCCTCTTCCTGCCTTCCGCATTTAATGGTTAATGAAATCTTTACCTACATAGTTGGTTACATGAACACTCTTGTATTCATCATTAACTCCCATTTTTTCCTACATCGAATCACTTCCTAGATTCTAGTGAGCCTACCTTAGAAATATCTCTGGAATTTCTCCCCACGTCTTTGCTTTCTTTGTGCTATGGCTGTGATGAGGTTCTCTTTGTCTCTATTCTAGACTAGTTTTTTGTAATCCTAAATATTCTTGCCCCCAGCTTCACTTCAAGTATTCATTTATATTTCTACTACTTTTTCTGTTAATATATTGGTGGGTCTTTTAGAATAAAATCTTGAAAATTTTACATGAAACACCATACCCTTTTAATTTACTCTTCACCCATGTATCTTGTGAGGATCAAGAAAAGACTGAATGCACTGGGATGATCATTATTATAAAATCTTCAAGGGTTCCTTTCAGGTAAACTCAGACATGTGTACCATAATGGTTGATACCCTTGAATCATAAAGGCAGAGGTAATTGCCCTTACAGAGATGCAAGGCATTACAGAGATGTAAGGGCAATTATGGCTTTAAAAGTAAATGGTGGGCCACCTGGGTGGCCCAGTCGGTTAGGTAGTCAACTTCGGCTCAGGTCATGATCTTGGAGTCCAGTCTGTGGGTTCTAGCCCCATGTTGGGCTCTATGCTAACAGCTCAGAGCCTGGAGCCTGCTTTGGGTTCTTTGTCTCCCTCTCTACCCCTTCCCTGCTCATTCTCTCTCTCTCTCTCTCTCTCTCTCAAAGTAATAAGTAAACATTAAAAAAAAACCTTAAAAGTAGATGGTGAACACACAAAATCTGAGGGGTCAAACAGTCTGAAAAACGTCAAAGATTTAGACAAGTTCCCATATTAATCTATGGCAAATCATTAAACTGCCACGTGCCACCTTCTCCAGCTTAAGAAGACACTGATAATTGCTGCTGAACTAAACACAAGTCTTAGGATCCTATGAACAAAGGTGTTCCAAGGAAACATTACTAAGAGACTGAAGTTGCCAAGGAATTATCCTGTCTTTTGTATTCCCAGGTCCACTTAATGCCTGAGATAGTGACAACTGTCATCTTTCAGAAACACTCTCTGGACTATTCCATGAACTATTTTTCAAATCTTTCCACTAAGGCACCCTGAAAGACAGGAAAGTAAAGTTGTAAGTTTGGGATTAGAACCTTTATTAGCTGACTAAGTCCTCCTCAGGGTTTTAACCTCAGTCTCTGCGGTAACATGCTGTCCAGGTGCATATCCAACTTTTATCTGATTCTCTTCTACTGGCTTCCTTTCTTCCTGTTGCTAATTTCATTATAAGCCTTCCACAAGACTTCTTAGGTCTGTTTTTGAGAGGAGGGGTTAGCAAACTTTTTCCACGAAGGGCCAGAGAGTAAACACTTGGGGTCTTATAGGACAGGTGGTCTTGGTCACAGCAACACAGTCACGCCACTGTGGCACAAAAGCAGCCATAGACAGTATGTAAACAAGTGGGTGTGACCATATTGCAATAAAAATTCATTTACAGACACTTAAATATGAATTTCAGTTTCTGTGTGCCACAACATAGTATTCTTTTGATTTTTTTCAACCACTTAATACATGTACAATTTTGGTTTGCTAGCCACACAAAAACAGATGGCAGTCTGGACACAGCATAAAATCCATGGGTCGGTGGACTATCCTTGCAAACTCTGTGAGACTGCCTCTAACTCAGCCCCTGTAGAAGTCCCGTAACTGTACTGAAGGCATATGCCATTTTAAAACCACCTTGTATGTGGCTAAGTCTCAATGTTCTATTTCCACTCTTAATTATCTAAGTCCAATTCTAGCTTTCTCTATTTGCCATAGGATATCATATGTACTTTGGGCCCAAACCTAAAGTGAAATAGTAAAAACTCAAAAATCAAAAAACCGTTTTTCCACCTAAGTTTTCTCCTATTTAACATTTTCATTGGCATAAGTAGCACTACTATCTTCTAGTGTACCCACGCCCCTGCATTCTGAGGAGACAATCCTCTTTACTCTCTGTGTCTTCAACATCAAGAGATCTTCCTCATTTTTTCTGTAATGTGTGTCTGTGCTGTACTCTTCCTTTGTCCTAATCTATGTGAAATAAACCACTGGACCAATTTTAAATGCAACCAAGAAAACTCTCTTTTAAAGACGATTAATTGTTTATACTTATTGGCATCTTTATTTCTGGGATCCATAATTCCTTAATTGTGTTCCCCATTATCTTAGTTTTTCTTTCCATTGGAGTGTGCCTTCTATTTCCTGCCTTAGCCTATGAAAATTGATTGTGCAATGAATGCCTTCTAAAATTTTGTAGGCAATGACTGCAGTGCCCGTGCCCTCCAGCTTGTTCATTTTGAATGAAAGAGGATTTTTAGACTAACACTGTGTATCTTCTTGAACTCCTCTACTATGGAGACAACAGAACAGGTTACATGTTAATGGCATGAGTATCAA